GATGCGCCGCGATTCCACAATTTTTGCCGCTCTGCAATGCGACCGACACGGCTGCTCCATTCGTGACACGAATCCGAGACGCGACGTCATCATAGTTGCGGCATTGGGCCGCTCCGCTCCAGAGCGCCGCGATAGCGGCCGCTCCAACTGCGATCGACTACTATGCATCCGATAACACCTCAAATAGAATCATTATGAAATCATCTAATCATATGTTAATACCTCAACCATAGTTATTAGGAGATTAACATCAACTAAGCATTTAAATTTATAACTTAACTAGTTTCGTGCATAGTTATTAATCTTAGATAGCAGTGCGGAGCGGCCAACTCTAAAGTTGGGATAGTGGGATACCGCTATTCTAATTTATTTATATATATATATATATTATGTAATTTATAATACATAATTAATAATATATGTATAAAAATAGAAACATAACTTAATTTATACATTAAATATTTTCAATAATAAAAAATTATAGTAGTTAAACAAAATAAAAAATTAGAAAAATAAGAAAACAAAATGTTTAAGGTCTTATATTAAATTTTTTATTACTTAAAATATTATCTAAATTATATTAATTAAAAATAAAGAGAAGTTACAGTAAAAAAATAGAGAAGTAAAAATAAACTTTACCTAGGCCCATTAACCAAAAGAGAAAATAAAATTTTTGGTTCAACTTTTCCAACCCTAATATTTTTTTACTTCAACCCACTAACCCTAAACTCATTAGTCGTCGCCACCTCCCCTCTTGGAAGAAGACAGATTTGGAGATGATCTTTTGGAGAAGATAGAGCCGCTGTAGTTGGAGAAGACAGATCTAGCGCTCGTTGGCGTAGAAGATAGATCTGCATAGATTTGTTGGAGAAGAAGACAAATTTGCAGAGATCTGTCAGAGAAGAAGGTAGACTTGTGGAGATCCGTCGAAGAAGATGACAAATCTATTGGAGATCCGTCGGAAGAAGTAAGAGAAAAAATGCCGCCACCCGCGATTTGTGGCCATATCTTTAAAGCGCTCTACAACAAGTTTCTTGTAGCAACACAGAGCCACTCCACCACACCGTGATAGTAGCCAAAATTGAATACTATGGTCTTGCGACGTTATTGATATCACACATTAATTCCTTAGGCATTACTATCACCCAAACATCTTAAGTCTTTAACAATCAACTCCCAACATAACTTATTTACAATTGCTCTCTACCATAATTTCTATAAACCATTCCTAAGATCAAACACTTAAAGGGTAAAACAATTCACTATCACCTCTTGCAAACTATCTTTCCATAACAATTTTCTATGACCTTGTGTTGTCCAAATACAATATCTAGAGCCACATACATGCTATCAAGTTTGTTTACAATTTCTATGTTACCTCTAGTAAATTTTGTCATCTACCATGTTTAAAAATTACAAAACTACAACATTTCCGCCTAAAATTGATAGCTTGACATCTGCTCACTAATTTGATCATAACTTGAATTCTAGACATTTCAATGGCATTTGAAAGGTAACACCTAGGTTACAACTATCATGACAACCATGAAAGCAAATTCAGCCATCTACTCGCTTAAGTAAGACAATCATTCGCTTAAGTGAGAGTCAATTCGTTTGAGTAAGCTAAAATTCTCTTGAGCGAGCTGCTACCCAGAACTCTTTGTCATGGACTTACTTGAGCGAGCCTAAGGTCACTTGAGTGAGCCATGGCAGTCTAGAAATGATATTATAAGATTCCTCCAAATTCAATCAGTAAGATATCAAATTAAAGCCTATTATCATACAATTAAGTCATCAATTAAACATCTAATACCCAAAACATCACCAAATCACAATAATTCACTTTACTAAGCACTTTTGGGTTCTTATAGGAACTACAACCACTCACTAATTCACGATTTATGCGATTAACACGAAATCAAGCATACATATGCCTCAATCACCACAATTAATGCACATAATGGCACGAAACACAAATTCAGATTACAAGACAGAATTGAGATTTCTCCCTCATCACATACTAGAACAAAAAAAAAGATTGGGAGGCCAATCTCACTATGTAGCATACACCCACATCTTAGAATAAGACTACTCACTCCCCCTTATCTTGATGAACAATTGTAGATGAATGCAAGCATTCAGGGTGGTCGGCTTCCAGATCTTCTAGAGTTTTTTAGAGCACAGAGAAGAAACTGTAAGCATGAAAATAAGAAACATAAATAGTCTACACTCAAAACCCTAATTTATTAAAAAGAGAACTCTCTTCACTTATCTTTTTTTTTTTTTTTTTTTTTTTTTTTTTTTTTTTTTTAAAAATAATTA